TTATGCCAGCAAGCTGAAAGAGAACCTGGATCAACCGGGGAAAGCCTGCCATGTTCCTGCCTCAGCCGTCCGCACTACCAATAGCCTCCCCAACTGTGTCTTGGCGCCACCCCCAAGTAGCCCCCCGCCATCTGACAGCAGTCGGCGACAGCACCTGGGAGCCATCTTTCAGAATGAGTGGGGCCTCTCCTTTATCAACGAGCCGGGGGCTGGGCATGGAGGGGGTGGCGGGACGGCACCAGACGTGGATGAACGAGATGCGGATGCTGGAGCATCCTGGGAGAAAATGGAAGTTAGCGACTGGCAGGCTGCAAAAAATTACCATCTGGACGGTAAGGTGCTGGAAGGAGCCCAGTGCGCCATTGGGCATGAGGGAAAGGGAGGAGAACCAGTGCATGTGTGTGGAGGCTTGGGAGCTGTCCCATAGGTAGCTGAACATAGTCAAGAGAGAAGGGATGGAGGACACAAGGAAATGCTTCATTTGGAAAGCTAGGGATGTTTGTGAAGATGGTGAGTGAATTTGCAGTCACACAGCACAAAGAACATTTGCAGTTCATGAAAGTGGAGAGGTGTTGGGTAGTATTGGCTGTCAGAAGAAATAAAGGACAATCTTTTCACTGCTCTGAGGTTGAATTCTACTATAGTTTACATTTGCTCCACAGACTAGGGCATGAATTACTTTGGGTAGAAGATGATCATGCAGCCTTTCCCTACCTTTTCTGATTACTTTGTCAGCTATTGTTTTTAGAAGGCTAAAGAGAGGCCCTGGTTGGGCTAAAGAGGTAGTTATAGATGGATATCATTTAGCTCCCTCATAATTTTAAGCATTGCTCCAGAGAGCACAGATTCCCACATCCAGTTTTATGTAGCTTGGGGAAAGGTTTGGATGGGCATGTGACCTTCAGTGCACTGAGACCCCAACTTTTCTCAGTGTGGCTGAACTTTCGGGGCATTGCCTTGAGAAGTCAGCAGCTTCAGCTGTGTTGGAGGGTCTTAGGGCACTGGGGCTTATTTACAAACAGTGCTTGGCTTCTAATTTCCCTTTTCCCTTTCTCCCCCTTCTAATACAGAGTGGAGACATATATGGGAGCTACACAGTCAAGGTAAGCAAATGGAGGTGCCTGGCCCTAAATCAGTGGCTTCATAAATATGACCTTTGGGGCTCAACAGTGGGCTGGATAGCTTCATGTTAAAGGTGGGTATTAAGATTTGCAGTAATGTACAACAATGTGAAGTGGAGGGGAGCAGATGTTGTACAGGGATATGACTTTGTGGGTGTGTAATTCATACTTTCCAATCCTTGCCATATATTCAGTTGCGTCTCCCTCTCCACTGTACCACACATGTAAAGAACAAACAAAAGCCCACAAATTTAATCTGACCACTCGTATTTTGAAAAAATCCAGCCTTTTGTGAGGATTGCTTTCAGAAGCTGAGGGCACTGATTCTACATTTTAATACTGTGTCTTTTCGTGGTTTGCTATTTAATGTTGTGTCCTAGATGTGTTTGAGTGCATGTGCTCTCCATAGCTTTGAAGACCTAGCTGGTAGGAGGTGCTGCCTTTTGATCATCTAACACAAGTTTCAAATTACACTTTGAAAATGCTTCTGACCCCACATCTTTGCCTGGAGAACTCAAGACAGTGACACTGAAGACAAGTGCCACAGCCAGCCTGGGCCCATGAGCCAGGCAGCCAGGCAGGTTTTCTATTCATGTAGTAGCAGGCAGGAGCAGGTAGATGCTATCTGAAAAACTGGGGTGATTGGTTCTGTGCAGTATGGGGAGGTGAATAAACTGGGCCTTATGAAGTCATGTGATGGGAGATAGGAAAGTAGAGCTGCTGAAATCCACAACTACAGTGGTACCCCGCAAGACGAACGCCTCGCAAGACGGAAAACCCGCTAGACGAAAGGTTTTTCCGTTTTGGAGACGCTTCGCAAAACGAATTTCCCTATGGGCTTCCTTCGCAAGACGAAAGCCCATAGGGAAATCTCCGGGACAGGGCGTCTTGCCCACTCTCCTCGGACCTCCTCCCGCCGCCAGGCTTCGGAAGGCTGCTCTGAAGCCTGGCGGGGGCGGAGAGGTTTTTTAAAAACCCCGGGACAGCGGAGGACTTCTCCGCTGTCCGGGGCGATTTTAAAATGCTGCCGGGCGGCAGCGCTGCCGCCCAGCAGCATTTAAAAAAACCCCGGGACAGCGGGGGACTTCTCCTTTGTCCCGAGGTTTTTTAAAATGCTGGCGTCTTCCCCTTTCTCCCTGGACCTCTTTTGAAGCAAGGGGCGGCAACGTGGAGAAGCGATCTTCTCCCCGTTGCCGCCCCTTGCTTCAAAAGAGGGGACAGAGGGAAAGGCGCGCGCCTTCCTCTCTCTTCCCCCGGACCCCTTTTGAAGCAAGGGGCGGCAAAGGGGAGAAGCGCTGCGTTTCTCCGCTCTCCCGGGAGGGCTTTTAAAGGCAGGCAGGCAGGGGGGACAAAGATTTTCGCCCCCCGCCAGCCTTCAGAAGAGGTCCTGGACCTCTTCTGAAGGCTGGCGGGGGGCGAAAATCTTTGTCCCCCCTGCCTGCCTTCCCGGGAGGGCTTTTAAATCGCCCCGGACAGCGGAGAAGTCCTCCGCTGTCCGGGGCGATTTTAAAATGCTGCCGTGGGGGGGGAGCAAAGACTTTCGCCCCCCCCCCCCAGCCTTCAGAAGAGGTCGGGGGACAGATTGTCCCCGGACCTGGTCTGAAGTCGGTTTCCATAGGAACGCATTAATTGATTTTCAATGCATTCCTATGGGAAACCGTGCATCGCAAGACGAAAAACTCGCAAGAAGAAAAAACTTGCGGAACGAATTAATTTCGTCTTGCGAGGCACCACTGTATCTGATGTTGGATGTGGAGCTGCCTTAAACAATTCAACCAAATCACAAAACAGCTGCATATGTGGGAGCAGATGAATGAAGGGTCTGTTCTGTGGCCAACCATTGAGGATAGCAGGGGGGAAGAGTGGGGCTTCGGGCAGGGGTTTTTGTGTGTGTGTGTGTGTGTGTGTGTGTGTGTGTACGCATTATCTATGGCACATCTCCCTTCAAGGCATTGTTCCTGTTGCCATCACTATTTCTTTTTCCATCTAGATCCTAGCAGAGTGACGGTCTACACAGACACCTTTGATGGGAAGGGTTAACTTCAATAATTCCCAGGGGAAGCACCGCTAAGACATGAGGGGGGGGCACATGGGGAGAGGCAAGATGCCCTCCCCACCCCCCTTGAAGACTGGAGAAGCCCAAGCATCTTGAAAGGGGAAGCTCTGCCACCTGCCTACCTCCCTCCCTTTGCTGTTATAGCTCAAATTGTCTCAGTGGGGCTAACGCCTCACCTCTTTTTCTCTCTTGCTCTCTCTCTCTTTCTCTCTGATTTAATGCTCTGGTTTTTAATTTCTTCACATGGTTTTTAATTTCTCTGGATTCCCCTGAAAATAAAGGCAAAAAAAGAATTTATTTAAATTCACTTCTCTTGCCTTGTCAGTGTCTCATTATTCATTGCTATACAGGTGTGTTACCAGCATGGGGTAGGCAGTGATGTCGCTCAAGGCACTGAAAATGGTTTGGGTGGGAAATTATTTTAAGGGGTAGAGATGGAAAAACGTGAATGAATTTTTGAAAGCACAAAGGAGAAGCTTTGGGAGGTTTACCACAAGGAACTATTAATACATGGCTAAGAAATAGTTTTATTTGTTTATCCACTGAACAATTTATAAGCTGCATTCTCCTAAGTATTGACAAGGTGGTATGCAACATACAAGATAAAACCACCAAAGGCATCATTAAAAACATCAGTAAATACTGGTTGGTCACAAAGGAAAAAAATGTGAAGGCCTGTCTATAAACAGTTTTCAGAAGATGTCTTAAGGAAGGCAGGGGTGGTTTCTACTGAAATTATGTGACTTGATTTAATAGAAATAAAATATTTGCTCAGTGCGTCTTCTGCCAGCATAGTGACGAGATTATGCTAAGCATAACTTTACTTCTAGGCATCTTTTAGAGGTACACTGCTGGCTTACCTAAATGCTAATTAATGGTTCGATACTCTTTATTTCTATTCTCATTTGCTGAGCTGCTGAGCTGGTTGCCACTGTAAAAAAGCTCCTCACTTTTAAAAACAAGATTGCCATCTTAAAAGCCAGTGAACTGATGCGGCCAATTTAGTGAAGAGTAAAGCCTACAGAGCACAATGGGGCTTCTCAGTAAAGATGCTTAGTTGCAGTGGTAATGAGGAAGTGTGTGAAATAAATCCCCACCACAATTTATCATGAAAGCCAAAGGAAGGAGCCATCTGTGTCCTGTTGGGTAAGAGTGCAATGCTGATAGCCTTCATAGGGGCAAAACATTTTCTTAGCCCAGCTGCTTCGTAGAAAAATACAGAAACCTATGAGCCCAATCTCCCCCCGCCCCCCAAAATGGTATTAAAATTAATGGGATAGGTCCAAGTAAACATCGTACGGTCTGAATTGCTTGCTTATTTGAACCTGAGCCTCCTTTTATACAAACCTGAGCCTGGGTTGCTTTGCAGTTACTCTTTTCTGGGCTTAAAAACAAGCAGACAAGTAACAAAAAATGAGCCGTATAACTTACTGTTCCTGACCTGCACTGGGGGAGGGGGAGGAGAAAATGCGCTCTTTGTTGGTTTGCCTCTTTTAAAAGGTGAATATTTCATAAAGAGCTGACCTAAATGTAGCTAAAACCGTTTTTGACGATACAATATATTAATGATCTATAAATAAGTACTCTTTGCCCTCGACCAAAATGGCTCTCAAAGCTTCCAGTAGTTGTGGAAGCTCGAGTCTATGCTTTTCGGAAGACTCTCCTCTATGGTCCCGAGCAGCCGTTATACGGGAAGGCGCGCGGCCTCTTCCCTTCCGAGGCCTAAGTCGATGACGTGATTTACAGTGTAGGGAGCGGCACTGTTTCTATGGCGGGAGGGCAGCGCGGGGCGCGTGCGCGCCTGCGCGTCACTCGAAAGCGCCCATTCGCCCGCGGATTGAGAGTGGCGCGGAGGAGTCTCGCCTGCGCCTGCGCGCGAGAGTAATACCTGATAGGATTCCTTTGCAGGAGTTAGGAAATGGGTGTGCGCAGCTGCCTCTTAAAGGGACAGAGTCCCCGAGTAAAAGGGGAAGTCGCCTGAGCGCCAGCCTGGAGGGCTGTAGAGAACAGGACGGAGGTAAGATAAGGTTGCACTTTTCTTAACTGTGTACCATTCTTGCATTTCTTCCCCCGGGTCTGTTCTCCATCTGGTTATTCTCATCTAAATCCTTTTGTTCAGCTATTGGGTTGGCTTTTGGAACAAAATACGCAAGGATTTAGGTTTCGAAGAATGTAGCCCCTTGGGGGATAAAATAGGGGGGTTTTTTGCCCTCGTTTGCTGCCTCACACCAAATCAGCCCATTGGTCCATCTTGTATTGTTTACTCTGACTGGCAGCTGCTCTCCGTGGTCTTTCTCAAGCTGAACGCTTCTAGCTGCATATGGCCAGAGGTTGAACTTGCATTTTCTGAATGCAAAGTATTGACTTTGCCTCTAAACGATGGCACCTCTCAGTCAGGGAAAGTCACAATTGGTATCCTATACACGCCACAATCCTTTGCATATATATGCCCAGAAGTGAGTGGAGCATATTTCTTAGTAAGTATGCATAGACTTGCAACCTTGTGTGCATACGTTGAGAGAGATTAATACACTCCCATATTTCTGGAGCTTAGACTATTTACAAGTGAATGCATTTTTTTCTCAGTGCACAGCTGAAAAAGAAGTTATATGTCTACCTTCCATGTGAAATACTGCATTTCCCCATTATCATTAATTGTTCCTAAAGCACTTCTTAGCAAGCAATCCTGGTTTTCAGTGCTCTTCTTGTCACTTTGGAAGTCAGTCAGCCACATCATTGTTTCTCACCATGCTTGATGGACTTTTGCCATTAAGAAAGTTTGTACCTGGATCTCCTAACCCAAATCCTGTGGTGCTGCGGGTGATGTGCCAGACTAGGACCGGGGAGACCAAGATCCAAATCCCCATTCAACTATGAAGCTCACAGGGTGGTCAGTCACTATCTTTCAGCCTAACCTGACTAACCATCTTCACATGTGCTTACTCATATTTCTCTCTAACCCAAAAGCTTATTTTGAGCTGGGAGCTTAACCTGCCTGGAACCTGTTTTGAGTGCTACCACTGAACCATGAAATAACAGTAAGCCTTGCTGACTAGTTCTCATCTGGCAAGGGGACTCTGGTTTGCACATGGCATGCTGCCTTTTGGCCTTCCCTCCCCAGACTCAATAGCTGAGAAGGCAGTTTTTGTAAGGATAGGGCAGGATTCAGTTATCCTATTTCACTAGCAGACGCCAGCACAAAGACTCCTACTAGCCTAACAGGGCTTCACCCACCTTACGCCTCTCCCAAATCTGCTCTGAAGGGTCATGAGAACCCCCAGAACAGTTCACAAGGAGGAGAGGGGAAATTGTTCTGTCTGCTGCTTGCTTGATGGAACAATCTCCTTAGCCCTAGCCATAATTCCACCCATAGTTGTTTTTTAAATCACAATTGTCCCCTCAGTAATTTATTAAGAGAAAGCTGGTGTAGTGTAGTGCCTGAGAGACTGAGCTATGAGTCAGAAGTCAGGACTGGTTTGGATCTTACCTCTGCCCTGAGCTCACAAGGTGCCTTGGGGAAGCAGTTCTCCCTCAACCTCACCCCTGTTGGCATATTGGGGGATAATACCGACTTACAGGCTTGCAGCTGGATGATGCATGTGAACTACTGTGAGCACTTGAAAGTAGGAATATGAGGCATTGTTATTAACAGACACCTCTACAGTTGTAATGTGAGCAGGCTGTGTGTTCCCATTGCACATTAGTGTCTGTGCATTCACACGTGCAGGCACCCCCAAACTCGGCCTGCCAGCTGTTTTGGGACTACAACTCCCATCATCCCAAGCTAACAGGAACAGTGGTCAGGGATGGTGGGGATTGTAGTCCCAAAACATCTGGAGGGCCAAGTTTGGGGATGCCTGCACACGTAGGTGCACTTGAGATGAAACACACCTATAGATTCAACTGTGTATGTTTGTGTGTGAGAGATGAATGCTGGAGAATGAGAGCTCTAGTATGTGATTGCTAACGTGATTTTGGTAAAAAATTCCCAAAGGCAGGGCCACACCTAGAAAACAGGGACAGATGGGATGGATAGGGAGCTTTCCAGTGGATCCTTTGTTAGAGTTTAAACCAAACCACTTTCGGTCTCCAGACTATCTGTCTTTCCATGCCACTATCTTGGCCACCCTTCCCCTCTTCCCTATGCCCAGTCACTGTTCTCTCTTCTCTTCATTGTCTTTGGCAATTGAGTATGGGATGATGACCAGATTAAATGAAGGGCTCTTCTGCCTTTCAAATAAGTATTTTGAAGATACGGTGGCTTGTACAGAACTATGTAGGAACCCAGGCTGCCATTGAAGCTGGTACCTCTATCTGTAATGGGGTCCCAAAGCTCTCTCTCTCTCTCTCTATGTGGTTTGCATCCAGCCCTAACCATGTTATTATTTAAAAGTAAGTACCACTGAGTTCAGTGCGATTTGCTTCCAAGCAAGGATGCGCAGGGTTGCAGCCCTAATGTACTGAGGACACATGGAAAACTGTGTTGCATGAGAAAAATCAATATTCCCTGTGGAAGGGGGAAGTGGGGGAGTTATTGTAGCAGAGAACATGTAGATCAGTTCCCGATGTTCTTCACTATTTTTGTAGTAAGTCAAAGCTGGGCATTAAATGACTTCTGGGCGTTTTGCTAAGGATGGTGGAAGAGCAACTGAACTGAATTATTTGGGTCAGTAGGCCAACAGAACTGCTCTGATTCTGTGAGCTTTAACCACTGAGAACACATTAGCATTCTGCTCATTTCACAGAAAAGAGGATTTAAAACTGTTCATTTCGCTGTAGTCATGGTTCAAATGGAATATTTGGGGGGAAATAAAATACAGCTGTCTCACTAACTTGAGCAGAGGTGGAGCTCTGGAAAAGTGGTAAGATTTTAAATCTCACAGGATTTACCTCAGAAGCTGATTTTCAAGACTCAGCCTAATTGCCTCTGAGCATGTATAGAGCGCTTTCCCATCACAGCTGAGTAACTCCTGTTGGGCTGAGCACACCTGAAACAAGGAGGGATGCTGAACCTCTGAAGCCAATTAAGTTACAAATCAGATATCAGGTGGTTGACCAGTTTTGAGATAAAGTCCTAGCTTCAGAGAGTAGGCAGTTACTGGAGGTGGGTGTGGGTGATTGAGGGGTGGTCAGCTGGAAGACTGTTTATGGGCGCTTGAGGGAAGCTGGGATGGGGAAGACAGAACAGAGCCACAGGCAACTCTGAAACCTTTAAGAATTTTGAAATGTAGAATGGGCAGAGATTGGACCTTTCCCAAGTGTAGTGGAATAAATTTCTTATGCTCAATCTATTTTGCTGTTTAGAAAAGGCCTTCACGTTTGAAATACAAATATGATTCAGTTACAATATATTGCCCTTCAGCTCAACAGCACCTTTCCGGCCGAAGCACAAGGACTGGTGATGTCTCGTCCCTGCCCAGCGACATCATCCCTGCCTTGGCTAAGGGTGTAGAAGGGGAAGGTTTTTCTCGTAGCACCTTCACGCCACTTCCTCCCGAGCCTTCTGCAAGCTTCTTCAAGAGCGGCCGGATAAATGGAGCAGGAGTGCCTGGCTCTGGTTGCTGCCTGCGTCCAAACCTCCCAGTTGCTGGTGCAGCAATGGATGCTCAACAGGCGCACGGTGATTTTCGCCATAGCGAGGATTCTGCAGAGGAGGCGCTTCCGTAGGTCGGCCGCGGTGCTCAGGCGCATCCTCTCGGCCAGCGTCCGCCGCAAGAGAGCCCTGCTGCGGCTTCACCGGAACGCCATCGTTTCCGTGGTCACCATGGTGTACTCGTCTTCTCCCGCGCTGCACTACGAGCATGAGCTGATGGCCTTGTCTGAGCGCTCCCACTGGATGCTTCCGAGGTGCAGTGAATGGTGGGAGCGGATGATCAACTCCGAGCAGGACGACAAGTGCTGGATTTCCTTGTTCAGGATGTCGCGGTCCACGCTGATGTACATTGCTGAGGAACTGCGCCCTGCCCTGCAGCGCCGGGACACCGGCATGCGGTCTCACATCCCTGTGGAGAAAAGAGTCGCCATGACTATCTGGAAGCTGGCGCACCACGACAGCTACAAGACCGTCTCAGAGCTTTTCGGGGTAGGGATTTCGTCAGCCTGCTCGATATTCGAAGAGGTGTGCGAGGAAATAAACAGCAGGCTGCTGGCCCAGATCATTAAGCTGGGGGATCCGCAGGAGATCATTGAGGGCTTCAAGGAGATGGGTTTCCCCAACTGCCTCGGCGCAATCGATGCAATCCACATCTCCATCCTCTGCCCCCCGTTCTCTGCCGACTCCTACATTAATTGCAAGGGTTTCTATTCTATGGTGCTGCAGGCCCTGGTGGACAGCAAATCCCGGTTCACCGATATCTACGTCGGCTTTCCGGAAAGGTCCCATGACTCCCGCATCTTGCACAACTCTCCGTTCTTCAACAGCATGGACGAAGGCACTTTCGGGCCACAGACTCCAACAGTGCTGGAAGGCGTTTCAATGACCCCTATCATAATCGGGGATCCTGCCTATCCGCTTCGGCCCTGGCTCATGAAGCCGTACCCAGCGCCAAAAACTGAGGCCCAGGAAAAATTCAACGAGAGGCTCGCCATGTGCCGCGTGTGTGTGGAGAGAGCTTTTGGGGTCCTGAGAGCTCGCTGGAGGTGCCTGCAGATGAGGCTGGATGTGAGGGAGAAGCTCATTCCTGTGGTCATAGCCACCTGCTGTATCCTGCACAATATCTGCGAGATCAAAGGGGATGAGTTGCTGGAGCCGTTGGAAAGCCCTGCGGTGGCGGAAAGCCAGAATGCTTCAGCCAGGCCAAGGGTGCCCTTGTCAGAGGCTGGACTGACCAAGAGAGCTTGCCAGATCAGGGCTGCTTATTGCTCCTATTTTGAAAAGAACCCTGTGTAAAATGGGGTGGGGGAAGCAAAGCCGCAGGCTCATTTGTCCATGTAATTTCATGGGTGTGTATGACCTGGTTGTAGCATGCAGACCCTGCATTGCTGAAGCCTACTGTGGTCGTTTTCTACATGTCAAATAAAAAGGCTATGATTTTGAGTGGTCTGCTGCTATATTTTCTAAGAGATGGGATTTTTTAAAAGGTAATTGCTGTGGTAAAAGCATAGGGTGGGACTTGAACCAACGGTGGTGTAAAACAAAAGAGTGAACAGTTTTTCTTAGAGTGGTGGGTATGTAAATCCCCTTTATCTCTAATAAGAAAAAGACACGGTATACCTGCCTAATGAAAATGGAAGTTCATGGACAAATTTTCTAGCCCCTTAGAAAGTACACTGGTTGCAATCCTATGCACACTTACCTGGGACTACGTCTTACTGAACTCTCTGGGACTTTCTGTGTAATCCTATCATGTTCACCCAGAAACATAGCTGTCAACTTTCAGATTTGAAAATAAGGGATCAGCAGCCTCGAAAATAAGGGACCAGCCTCACCTGTCCCGGGGACAGTCTACAGGATATCTAACAATCCGGGATAGCAGCGGGAAGCAGCGCTGGAATAAGGGAATTTCCCGCAAAAAAAGGGAAGGTTGACAGCTATGCCCAGAGATATTTCAAGATGTTTCAGTTGGCTAGTCCAGTATCCAGCTGCTTGTGGGGGAAATCAACAAAGATCATGAAGATGCATGCTACTCCAGCCTCTCCAATACTAAATGCAGGTTTTATGCTACTTTGCTACATGAAGCTATCGTCTTCTGGGTGTCATCCAAAAGCTGTTTCAGTGTTGCAGGTTCATCTGGAGACCCAGGGATTTTTAAGATGAGACACATGGATTTCAAGGGGAATGGCTGACATGAGATTTATATGAACCAGTAACCATGGAGCCACATAATGAAACAGGTTAGACAGTCTTGTTAAGCTAAGATACGAACAAGACTTTTGTTCACACTAAAACCAGGATCTTCTAATCATCATTTTCTGGTTTGGTAGGGTTGCCATATTTCAAAAAGTGAAAACACTAAGTTGTGTTTTGTTTGTTGTTGTATTTTTGCTAAATTGCAAAAATGGCTCCTTTTTAAGGGAAATCGACACTGCTGGCTTTACTGGTTTAATTGCAGCTTTCAGGGAAAAGTGAAGGGACTGTGTTCAGGGGCAAAAAGCTTATGCATTTTTTCAGCCTAATAAGTCTAATAAGATATTACTAATAAGATATGACTGTCTGAATGCATTTGATAACTCCCACTTTCCATATCTGGGCAGACATGGTTTTATCCTGGCTTGCAAACCAGAAATGTCAGTAACACTGAAACCACTGTTTCTCAGTTCAGATGTCAAGTGAAGCTGATTTAACAAACTGGGAATCTTCCCCTCCTATGGGGCACATGAGAGAGGAAGCACCCATACTCATGGTTCGCTCCTGTTCTTAAAAATGAATAAATCACTGAGCTGTTTTACGAAAGGAAACAACAAAAACACTTGTCCTTCCATATTTAAGATTTTTCTAGGAAAGTATATTTTTTCAATTGATAGGGAAGCCAAACACAGAATAAATGCATTCATGATGATGGTCATTGTGCTTAATGCCCTGTGTGCTAATTGCTAGGGATGGTCTTCAAGGGGAGACTTCTGAAGCGATAGTGCAAAGCAGTAACCAGTGTACTTTGGTTGCAGACATGTTCTGCTGATCCTTTCTTTCACAATGCAATATTGTGCAGACACACAGAATGTGTAGAAAGTAGCTTTTGACAATTACGTGCCATTTTGCCACAACTACAACATTGAACAGTTGGTGGGATCATTTTAACAAAATGGCTTTAAGCAAAAACTGTAGCATGTTCCTCCACTTCAAAGTAAAAAGATTTGTTACATTTCCTTTGCTTCCATAGGCAGCAGTTTGTCTTAGTGTCGCCAGGATTGAATTTGTAGCAGAACTCACCTAAGCTTAGCACTAGAGCACAGAGGTTGCTCAAGAGAGTCTCTGGGTTGTATCCAGCTAAGTTCTGCTCTAAAGGAGACCTGAAATTATTGAACCTAAGATAGTCTTGTCCATTCAGTTCTTTGGGTCTGTTCTGAGTACAGCTACCACTGGAGACAATCCTCTCCCTCACCACTGAAGGACACTTCCCCTGTTACAAGTGCTGGAAATGTATCACCCACATTAGAAAATGGTGGGCAACAATCACATGTGTAGAATTGTTGCTGCATAAACAGACTTTGAAGACCACCAGAAGTGTACTTGCCACATGTAATAATCTTTATGTGCTTACTGTGTTGTTTCTTACAGAGGACTTGACTCCTGTTTGTTGTGTAATGTAGGAAGCAATCCAGAAAAACCACAACTATTGCTCCCCAGCAGCACCACAAACTCAATCAAGCAGTACATATCTAAGATCAGGGCTTCTAGGCAGCCTTAAACTCTCCTCCAGCCAATGCCTTTTTATTTAATCTGAGATTTAGAAGAAAGATGCTAGGAAGTGGATATGAAACAGTGGGGTGGGGGGAAGGAGGCAACATACAGATTGTCTTAGCCTTTTGAGGACATAGTTGCTGCTATGTGGATCATAGTGGGATGTGAGAAATCAAAAAGGACCAAGTTGTCCAGCACTCTATTTTTGAAAGTGTATAAGTTGATTGTTTTGTATTTAGCAGTTACCTTGGGACACTTAGGAGGGTGTTGGAGAAGTTGGTTGTGAGGATCACCAGGCAAAATGGTGTTAGCAGAACTTTCAGTGTTGGAGAACATCAACAGCTTTGCTGAATTAGGCCAAAGGTCCATCTAGTCTAGTATCCCCTTTCCTACAGTGGTAAAGTATACACTTCTGGGAAGCTCATAAACAGGCATAGAAGCAATAGCTGTCACCTGTTATAACTCCCTAGTGACAGTATTATCAGGCATGCTACCTCTTAAGTTTGGAGGTTGTATGTAGACTTCCCTTACACTAATAACAAATTCATTCTCCCAGGTGTGGACCCTTGTGCAGCTAAATGTGCATGATGAGTGCACATGGAAGAGTTATTCAGGAAGAACTGAACATGCTCAGTGGCCATAGAAAATTGACTCTCAGTTGAATGGAGGGAGGAATGGACAAGCGGGAGGAGGGAAAATGGAATATCCAGGAAAAGGGCATGGCCAGCTGGCAGGAATTCCAAATAGGAGCCTCCATACTACAACTTTTTGTTGCAGGTTCCACTTGTCATGATTAATAGCTAATGGTAAAACACATTCATTCTCCATGAAAGTGTGTTTAATCCATCTATGCTAGTGCCCATCACCACATCTTGCAGTGTGGCAGGGAACCATTTGTGGACTTAAAAAGAGCTCGTGATGATCGTGTAGGCACAGCCAAGGGCTAATCTGTATGTTAGGAATGTATGAAGGGTCTGCTAGATTAGGCCAATGGCCCATCCACTTCTCATAGTGGCCAGCCAAATGCCTATCGGAAGTCTGCAAGCAGGGTCTGAGCACAACAGCCCTGTCCTCACATACAATTCAGCGAAGGTATAGGAGATCACATACTGCACAATGATCTTGCTAGCAGTTCGCTGCAGTAACTGCTAGCAAGTTGACTGTGTGATGTAAACACACCAACATTTGTGGGATATACAGCACAAGTCTACCATGAAACTACACATTCACATGCAATTCTTAAGAAATATGGGGAGAAACTTGTCTCACAAGACCAGAAGACTCAAAGGAGGGAAGCCTTATGTAACAAAGGTAAAAAGGTAAAGGTACCCCTGCCCGTACGGGCCAGTCTTGACAGACTCTAGGGTTGTGCGCCCATCTCACTCAAGAGGCCGGGGGCCAGCGCTGTCCGGAGACACTTCTGAGTCACGTGGCCAGCGTGACATCGCTGCTCTGGCAAGCCAGAGCCGCACACGGAAACGCCGTTTACCTTCCCGCTAGTAAGCGGTCCCTATTTATCTACTTGCACCCGGGGGTGCTTTCGAACTGCTAGGTTGGCAGGCACTGGGACCGAACAACGGGAGCGCACCCCGCCGCGGGGATTCGAACCGCCGACCTTTCGATCGGCAAGCCCTAGGCGCTGAGGCTTTTAACCACAGCGCCACCCGCGTCCCTTATGTAACAAAGGAATGGAACAAAACTTAAGAAATCAAACAAATGTGGTGTTCAGTTTCCCACAGTTTATGCTGCTTATTCATTTTGTGAGGGTTCTCTCTTTTGGTGAATTTTGAGGACACACACAAAGATCAGCATCCCCATATTCTTTTTTTAAAAAAACTTTATTTAAACAAAGGAAAAACAATGTGATCAACATTATCATGTGGCACATTATACATTAAGATTTGAGAGAGATTGTTAAAAATAACCTCCTTATAAAGTTTTCCCCCTTCCTCATCCCCAACAAATAACACCACACTGCGAGAAGATTTGGCAATGATGAGATTGCCATGTTGGGTGGAGCTGGGTTGCAAATATCCAACTTTCACCTATAATTCCAGCTCTTTCTTTCCAACTTAATTGTGTTGAAATTTGCCACCTTCATCAGAAATATAGAGAAGTAGGAAAACCTGTCAAGTAGGAAAACCTTACCTGTATATCCTTGAGTACGACGTTCTTTCATACAAGCAGAGTCATCCAGCCAGTTGCAATGATCAAGAATCTAGTGGTTGCTAACTTCAGAAGTTGGTACTTCTAAGTCCCCCCCCCCCATGCATAGATTTAGAGCTAATTTAAACAATGAGGTGCATGTAGTGCAGTCTTCCCCGAGAGCCTTACACATGGGTGGTGATACACATGGGTGGTGTATCTTGTCTAAAAACACCCCACAGTCAAAATATTTGCATTTTATTAATTTTTGAATTGCCTTTCACATGTCTCAATCTGAATTACAATATAAGCAACTAACATACTTTTAAAAGCAATACAAGATGGAGACCTTTTCATCCAGATGGAAATGTTTGTTGAAACAAAATGTCTTCCGGTATTTTTGGAAAGCACATAAAAAATGAATACGAAGTTGCAGTATATCATCTTTCCATTTACATGGCGATCTTGAGGCAGGGGCAGTCTCAAGGAAACCAATTCCCACTTTATTTTCAACAAGTTTAGTCCCTTTAGACAACCAGACCGCATGCACGCTAAATATGTAAATAATCACTGAGCAATTTATGAGATTGAATGAATATCTTTTGGTGTTATTTCCATTCACATTTCTGGGACACAATTTGACTTTTTAAAATCTATTTATTTAATAAAGTAAAGCTTATGATTGTACTACACAAAGCGCAAAGGGGAACAGGTAGCACACTGCCAGCCTTTTTCGTTTCCCTTGATTCTGGCTGTTCCAGCAGACCTTTCAGCTTCTTCTAGTGCTGGGATGACACTGCAACCTTCTTACCCTCATTCCTAGGGCTGACCATGGTCACCTGCTCCCTGCTGGGCTCCCTGCGTATCTGCCTGGAGCGACACCCACCTCTGGTCACCTTCTTCTTTTGCCTCCTTTCATTGGCTGTTGCCTTTGTTGGTTTTGCTGCCTACATCCAGTCACATGATGTTCAGAATCCTGATGTCAAAGAGGTGAGCTAGAGATGATCACCTTAAGTAGAAAATCAGACCAAAATGCTGGGGATGGAATTGGGTTGTGGTTGTAAAGGACGCATGAGAGACTTTAGGAGGCAGTGGTGGGTGCTCTACCTTCTCCTTGGTCTCTTACTAACTGTTTAGGCTCAGCAACTGAGTGGTTCTCTGACTGAAACTGTCAGGATGGTTGGGTTTCTTCTTGGATGGAATGCACAGAATTTCCCTAACAATTATGGGCTGTGGCGGGTATGTTGGGTGTTCATTGCAGAGGCAGACTTGTGTGATTTATCTTTTGGCAATTGTTTTTATTTATTACTATTTTCTAACAGACTTGAGAGATTTACCCGAATTTGAACAGCTGCATTGATTTGCTCTCAAAAATAGTGTTGCCTGTGTTGGCTGCTGTTATCATACCATAATGACCCAAGCTAAACATTCACGAATTACAAAGGGTTGGATGTTGTTGGTTTTTACAAATACGCTATAAGAAACTGTCCTTGAAAAGATAGTCCTGAATGGTTACTATCAGAAGAAGTGGGGAGCAAAAGAATAGGATATTCAACAGTACAAAATTTTAAATTAGTAGGTGCAGCTATAGCTGAAATATTCAACGATCCGGCTGTTCTGAGATGTTTTATGGTACTTTTAAAATACAGTTCCCATCTTTCAATTTTCTAGCTGTTAAGAGCAAAAGGGAATTTTTAGAGGCACGATTGGGTGAAATTGGAAAGGTACTTTAAAAGGCAGAAGCAAATGAAAAAAATTGCAATCAAGAAAATAGAATCAACTAAGAGTCAATTCTCATTCCTTTTCCCTCCCTCATCTCTAAGGACTGGAATTCTCTGCTAAAGTCTCTGGCACACTTAATGTTCTGTATCCCAAATAAGACGCAGGAAAGTGCCTTGACACCAGCTCCCTCCACAACCACTGCTGAGACCCCTACAACAGTCTCTGTCATGGTTGCCTTGACCTTTGACCTCCACAATGGCACAGATCCTCCCAATGGTACACGCCTAGGTCTGACAGTCACTGGGGAAAAGCTGGGTCTCAAAGGTGAGTGATTTCTCATGCCTGACCAATTGCAACATCCTCCCAAAGATTTCAGGAACTCTGGTTCCATGTCAGTCTCCCCTTGACCTTTCCTTCCATCAACTTCCAACCACAGGTCCAGATGCCCAGGAATCAATCCACTTCCTGACTATCATCACGAACTCAGTCTCCCATGAGAACTGCCTTAGCATCACTGCACCTTCATCCCTTCTCCCCAAGACCAGGTGAGCCAAGAGATTTAGTTTCAAGGAGTTCTTAACCCATTAATGCAATACTCCCATCTTGTCCCCAGACAACCACCTAAATGTGTGATAGAGGAATGGGACATGCACCAAGAAGAGACAGGAATTTGTTACCAGCCACATTACCAGGCTAATCCTGCCCTGTCCAGCATGCTGGATCAGGTAAGATGAATGTGGGCAGTGACAGTATCTGGACCTGGGGATTCTGGGTTTCTTCGGGATGCAAGCTGGATTATAAGGGGAGGAGCATTCACTGTTGCACTCCTTTCACTCTCAGGCGGATCGTGCCCTCTGCAGCCAGCGGCTTCTGATGACCAGTGCTTTCCTTCTCTGCCTCTGTGCCATGCTATGTTGTGCAGCTGGCCTGTGCTATCCTAACCCCAGAGACAAGTGGGGGCAAATCTAAGTGGGTCCAGCAAATGCCAGTCTTATATTGCAGCGAAGCCAGGTAGCCTGCTCATTTGCCCTGCTTTCTCCAAGCACCTGGATCATGCAATGCTCACCATATTTCAGATCTGAAATTAGCCCATGTACTGTTGTAACAGCTGAGCTGTGAATAAGAGTTTAACTGCTATCTTGGTTCTCTGTGGGGTGACTGTATGAACCCCTATGAGAGCGGATGGTGCAATAAATAACATACAAATGATAGGAGTATTTGTTTTTTTGTATTGTAAGTGGCTGTACCAGTGACACAAATTGAATCATGTAGTATTTCTCAGGTAGTTACTGGAGGAGCTTCACGTGTGGTTGAGTAGGTTAATGACTACCGTAGCATTATCCTAAATGGGATTACCATGCCTTTGCCAGTAAATATTCTGTTAGAATTAGGATCTTTGGCTACAGGTTAACATAATTTCATTTTTTTAAAAATGAATTAAAATTAAAAAAAACAGTATATAACATAGTATCACTGATCAATGGGGTCAGGGAATGTGATCATAAGAAATCCAATGTTATTTCTTGCTGGTGTGAGTTCTGTCATGGTTTGCTTGTTTATTGCTTGTGTTTTATGTATTTATTTCCCACTTTTTAATCAAAAGATGCACAAAACACCTTACAACATTTTTTTTAATGATAAAGTTAGACAAGACTCTACGACAAAGCTTACCAGAACCATAATAAAAGCAGACAGTTTAAAATCAACATTCAGATTAAGAGCAGAGAAGAGTAATTAGAATAGAAATATTAAAAACTCACTGGAGTCTTCTGTGACTGCTTGAAGGTGAAATGAAAGCAGCCCAGCAGATCTCAACAGGAAGGGCATTCCACCATTACAGGATAACCACTGAGGTTTTATCTCAAATACCCACCCAAGGTTCAAGAGCAGAGCATCTGAAGCTGACATATAGCCTACCCCATCCCAAAGACTTTACCTTATCTCTGTCTCATCAAGACAGTTTTAATAAATAAATCTTACATCAAAAGTTCAGAAGATTCACAGGCAAGGACTTTGGTGAGTCAGGGTTAGAGGGAGAAGATCCTTGTTCATAACCACCTCCCTAATGTAAGGTGGAGGAGGGTCTGAAATGTGAGCAATTTTGCATCCTACTTCCTAACTGGAGCTGGCTTACAGGCCTCATTCCTTTGAGCCTGAAGCATTCAACCTGAACTCCCTGTCTTTGGCAGAGAAGTGACCATGGCACAGCGATGCTAGCGGAGTGCTGGGTACGCCTTAACTCTTTACATAAGTCACCCATTGGAAAGGAAGGGATCTTCCAGGGCATTCCTTTCTACCAGGACAGTAATCTCTCATTAATGTTAACGGGATCACAAGATGCCATCCTTTTGTACATAAAATCACAATTTTCATGTCATTGATTCCAACTTATGGGTTACTGATAGGTAATTCAACCCAGGTTTCAGCCAAACTGCACTACCAAACAGGAGAGTCAGTTAACAGGTGCCTGAACCAAAATTTGGCCAGCCATTTAAAATTAATGTGTGAAATTCAGTCATACCACCTCTGCTGCTTCTGAGTCTTTGAGTCCCTATCCCCCTACTTGCCAGGCTCACAGTGCTGCAGTGACAGCAGAAGCCATAACTGGTAGAATGTCTCTGGCTACACATAGCAACCCATTTGCCCCTTGGCTGCTCCCTTCCCTCCCTGTGTAAAGTACCCAGACCCTCCTGTCTCTAACCCTCCTTTTCCAACTCCATGACCCTACCACCCATTGCTTCCTCAGGCCACTGCCTACTTTGTTCCCCTTCCTTTCTCTACCATGTTTCTAGATCAGGGGTTCCCAAACTGCACTTCACGGGACACACACACACACACACACACACACACACTTCATTCAGGTGATCCATGACATGATCTGTGGCTACTGAAGACAAGAGATGACATATCCATTGCATTAAATACTCATACTGATTTTAACTGTATTTCTTCTGTATTGTATTATATTGTATTACAGTTTGAATTCTATAAAATTGTAATGCACAGTGTATTACAGTTGCTAAACAGGCAGAAAAACCATTAAGTGGTCCACCAAGATGCTAAGCAGTTTTCAAGTGGACCACGGATGTGAAGTTTGGAAACCACTGTTCTAGATCACTCTCCCTATTTCTCCTTCCACCTGCCACATAAAATTCTACTCATCTTAAATGCTTTGAAATTCCTTCTGAGATGTAATTTATCCTTGTTGCCCTTTCATGTCTCAATTCCCTCTTTCTTACCCTACCTCCAGGTTCCTCCTCCTCCTTTTTCTTATTTATTAAATCGATGTTACTTTTTTGCCATGGGAACACAAAGTGACTTACAACATTTTAATCAAAAAACAAATACATGGTGTTATAGAACTTTTTTGAGGGGTCCCCTGGGGAAGGAGGAGGAAGTAAGGCTGAGATCCATCTTGGAGAGGGAGACGAAAGGGTCTCTTGCACTGCTGTGGACCATGCTGTAAGATCTGGACTCCCCTCATGCAGACTGAAAGGTGTAAATAGGCAAATAAACCCTATTTCTGAAAGTACAACAGTCTCCACCGTGTGTTCTGTTCTCCAAAGGGACACAGACCCTGTGTGCACGCCTTTGCCACCAAATGCTCTGGCCACTGCTGGGTGGAGAGAGGGCAGGCACAGGGCTTTTGTAACAATACATTAAAATCTGTATTTTTTAAAAAAATATGCGTTGAAAGAAGAAGCCACTTTCTCCACTCTGCCCCTTCATTCAGCTTCCTTGCCTTGGGGCTCCCTGTCCATTAGCTTCTCTACCTCCTCTCAGGGCCATCACAATCTTCAACCATTACCCTGCAATGTTTTAATGAATCCCAACCAACCAACCAACCAACCAACCCCTTTTCCTCACAGAAGGTGGACCACGATCTGCTCTGAACTGTCCCAGCCAATGCACCAGCCCAGCCAATCAGTGTCCGAGACGTCACCGGGCTTAACAATGTACAGGCTGTGCTGCATTAGCATCCGCGGAGTCAACAAGCGAGGCCAAATCACGTGACACTGTGGGGAGGGGGTTGTTCGAGAGCAGGTAGAGCCTTTCGGTTTTGTGAAGATTTTTGGGAGTGTTTCTATTTTGCCGCCTTTTTATTTTTGCTTGTTTTGGGGGGTTTTAAATTTACGGCCAAAAGGGCGTACGGTTTATTCCGCCGCCGCCCCCTTGAGAAAGGGCGGTTATAGCTCGCCTTGGTCCCTATTGCGCAGGTGCCCAGGTGCTGCTGTTCCCATATAAGGCGAGGGAAAGGTCACATTAGGAAGACCGTGCGGCACCTGAACATTCCGTCGTGTGAGGGGAGCCTGACCGCGCCCTCCTCCAGAGGAGTTCGGGCGAGGGCCCGCGCGCTCGTTCAGTGACGCTTTAACGGTCGCCCACAGCGTCCTTTATTCCTCCCCCTCCCCTTCAACAGCTGTCGTCCCTTCGCCCGTTTTCCATGCGCGCGCGCGCCTGTTTTTTCGGAATCCTGCCCCAGTAACAGCTGAGCGCTGGAAGCTCCGCCCCCAACAACGCCAACCTACCAATCACATTCCGCCTCCACCGTATGTCCCAATCAAAACTGGCTAGAGGGCATGTGCCGTCCCAATCTGACTCCTTTCATTGAACAGCTCTTTCCCATCTCAGCCAACCAGGACGCCGACCTCCTTGTTTGCCCTCGCCCTTCCCGACGCCCCGCCTCCTCCAAGCCCGGCGCCGCTTCCTCGCCCCAGGCCCGGTTCCAGACATCCGCCCGCACTCTTTTCGTATTGTCAAGGGAAGCCACGGTCCCGCCCATCAACGCCGCAGCAACCCAATGAACGACTCGGCTCGCTCGCTCCCTTTTATTAGTGCACATGCGCTTTGTCTCATTCAGCAACACCTTGTTTCCTCACAGCTCATGCTCGGTTAACTTTCTCTCTCTCTCCAGAACGCCCTTACCAAGGCGCAAGTCGTACGCTACGTCTCCGCTCCGCTCTACGCATGCGGCCGTTCCTTGGCTTCGGAAAGGCGTTCGGCGCGTGTCCAGTCCGCGGCGCATGCGGCTTTCTCCCGGCTCCCTCCCACGGCTCACTGCGCGTGCGCCCTCTCCTCCGCCGCGCGCCGCCGCTTATGCGCATGCGCCCGGGCTTCTTTCTGCCTTGGTTCCGGTCTGGCTCCTGCCTTGGGCGCCATCTTGGATTTGGGGACAACTGGAGTGAGTGAGTGAGAAGGCAGAGGAGCCCGAGGAGGCGAGAGAGGGGAGGGGGGGCCGGATAGCGCCAGGCCCCCCATCCCCACAGTACTCCACATCACCGACCCCACCCTCTGCCGTAGAGAGGTAGCCCCTCCCTTCCCCCAGCCCCCCGCCCCGCAGGGCTCCCTGGACGTTGGAGGATTTCTGGGGCTCCTGGAGGACCAGCCCGCCCCCGTCCGCCCACCCCGCCCCGGCCCCTCCTGACCCCCCGCCCCAGTTTCCCCGTGAGGGCGGTGGCGCGTTCCGCTTCGGAGGTGCAAGCCTGAGTCCCCTCCGCATCGATTACCTGTGGGTCCTTTATAGCTCACCCCACCTGAAATATATGACAGGGGCTGCAACGTCCCACTTAACCCGCGTCTTCCTTCCCTTAATAGGCTTCCCAAAGAGTCGTCTGTCGGTAGGGCCTCTTGTCTGATAGAGATTTCCCCTCCTCTAAATTGGGGTATTCTCTTCTCCTCCCTTCCCCCCCCCACCGCCCTGAAGAGTCTCCATAGAATTGGGTCTGCTGGGAGACTCCTCATTCACCTTTTCAAAGGGATGCCCCCATCCTTCCCCTTTAAGTAGAGCCCCCTGCACGTCTTCGCTTCTGCGGATCCTTTCTTCCCTAGCCAAGCCAGAGAGAGGGAGATACTCTAGGTGCCCTATGTCTCCTACGCAGAGGCCTCCCTCGTCCAGGGGAGCCAGTGACAGTTCCCTCTAAACCCTCTTCCTTGATTGGAGGAGTTGGGGAAGAGGAGGAGGAGGTCGGGGGTGTACTCCCCACCCCCAATATCCTGGAGCTGGAGCCGCAAGGGGAACAGTATCAAGGCAGCTGCCGAGACTTACAGGTGAGACCTGAACGTACTGATACAGGGGAGAGGTGAAGGGATGTATGTTTTGGTGGTGGTGGTGGGGAGGCTGGGAAGATAACAGAAGGTGAACGTTTGCAGAACAAAGAGGTTGTATGCACCAATTTTGTGGAAATCCGATTTTCTTTCTGTCTGCTTCCCCCGCCTTCCCCCAACAATCATGCCTCCTGTGTTGAGAAGCACACGCCCTCCCACCCCACCCCGAACTCATTTTCTTCTTCTAAAGGCTTAATGAAGGAGTAGCAACTTGCAGCTTTCCAGTGCCACATCTGGGCCCCACTTCTCTCTTCTGAAGAAGCCAGGAGTTCTGTTCACCAGAACATGGATCCTGGGTTTCCATTCTGCCACCTCAAATCCTTGTCTTCTTTTTATTGAGAATAAAAGCTGACAACACCACCCCCATCCCTCCCAAAAACCTCCTTTGCAACCTAGCAATTGCATCTCACTATGACTGCTAGACTCATTTCTTGACTATGCAACTAAGAGCCCCTGGCTCCTAGTCCTGTTCCTCGCCATTAGATCTTGTTCAGCTTTTAAGGAAACCTAGAGGCCTGTTTTTATGCCCTTAAATATTTGATGACAAGGTTGGGGATGTGGGTGTTATCAAGGTAGGTTAACATGATGGACTACTGTTGGCTTCCCTAGGAATCATCATTCAGGCTGAAACTTTGTTGTAAATATTGAGCATGCAACCAGGAGTGAATTTTGGGGAAATGGGATGGTTGCCCTTGGCTTGTGGTCTGGGGTTGGATTTTAACATAGCACGCTACCAAAAGTTTTGTATGTGTGTTTTTAATGGGTTAGGAGGAAGACATGGTGGAACTGTATTTGGTTGCAGGGGTGCTTCACACAGATACTGCAGAGTAATGAGGTTTAACATGACCACTTGGAAGGAAGGAAGGAGGATGAATGGCTTGTCCTAAATGCTGGATGGTGTTCAATTTGACATCCTTTTAAGCTACAGGGACCACTTCCCACTGGGCCTGCTCTTTTTGTATTCTGAGGGGGGTACCAGAAAAGGATTTAATGTCAAAGAAACCCATATTCCACAGAGAGGAAAATAAAATTCAGCATTCAATATAGCACTGTACAAAAAATTCGATTCTGTTAATATGCAGGAGTTTCACATTTAATTCAGAGTTTTAGATAAATTGAGCCTTATTTAGTACTTGGTGGTGTGAAGGTGCTGTTAAGAGGCAGTATCTATAAGCAGTGAGGTATGAGAAAAGCAGTACTGTACTGTATTCCTTGAGCAATGGCAGTTGTCTGTTTCTTTCCCCCCACCCCCGCCCACCCTGTGAACCAGGATTGTTTTCAGATATCTCTCTAGAAACTTGGGGGCTTTTAAAGAAGAGGTCTTCAGCAGTCTAGATTTCTGTACATGTCTCAGAAGATCAATTAATGAATGATGGCATGTTTATCAAGCCCATTAACACAAAGCACACAAGTTTCAAGACCTCCACTTTCATGGATTGTATTGCTTCTTGACCTGGGTCAAAAAAATGGGAGTTGGGAATATTACCACCTCAAGGGATTGCACATTTCTCTGGGACATACCAATTTAAGGTAGGAATTTAAAATGAGTCTGAGAATAAGGGGTGTTTCTTGTGGTGTGCATCCAACAATTTTCATCGTAGCTTGAGCATCATTCCAGAAGGTTTCAGGAAAGGTTTTGTGTGGCATGCTTCTATCAAGGATGAGTAAGAGTCCTTGAGAGCTATGTTGCTTTTGGGGCTCCTCCATCCACTGTCCTAATAGGCAGTAGTTTTATCATGCAAGATGGGCCCCAGTATCTACTTGGTTGCTTTTTGACAAAGCTTTTCCTGTGATATTTTTATGAAGGCTCTTTCTGAAGTGCTTGGCCACCGAGATAATGGGATAAATTGCTTTTCTTTTGTTGACAGGAGCTCCTCAGACTTTTAACCCAGCTGATTGTCTCTTGTGACCAGTAACACTCTTATTTTAGTCTGTTTAGTTGGGTACAGCCTTGCAAATGAATGTCCCAAATTTACTAATCTGTCCACATATGCTGATTCAGTCATTTCAATTATATCAAGAGCCCCAAAGAAAGGAAAAGAACCAACACTTTTTCCAGTTTCTCTGACTTACAGCACAGGTCTGTGACAAGTTGGAAACATGTCCTGTTGAGTTCAATGGGGTTTATTCCCATGTGAGTGAGGTTAGAATTGCAGCCCCAGTCCTCTAATACACATGTCCATTTAAAACCCTGGTTCTGCCCCTGTTGCTTCAAAGAGCATGACTTCTCAATGAGCATTTAGGATTTTTCCTTTGCTGGATTTCCCCCACCTATGTTCTTGATTATAATACACTTCTTTCTTCCAGTAATCTAAAACAGAATCATGAGCCTCCTTTCAGCTGGACATGTCATCATGAGAGAAGTTTTATCCTGGAATATTCAGATGTTTTTTTAAAAAGATGATTATGATGGTGTAACAAAAGTGTTGCTTTGAGCCAAAGGACGGCAAACAAGCCAACCCAGGCCAAGAATAAAAGCATCCTACCCCTCTTGCCCAGGCGCTACTTAGGGGAGGTGGAGTTGTTTCTATATTTGTGGCTGCTGATTCTGTGTTAAGAGGCTGCCTCTTTTTGCACATCTCACCACGATGTGACATAAAATAATAATTGGCAACACTCTTTGGTCAGATAAATTTAACAGCCCAAAGTTTCTAACTTTGATCTTGTCCTTTGTCAGAGAATATGTTGTTAAGAAGAGCTGGCAAGCAGAGGAATGAATGAGAGTTCCAGTATCATGTCTGAAAGGACACGTGTAGAAGCTTGAGATACGATTAGAACTTCTCTCTTTCACACACACGCACCCCACCCCCTCGACACATACAAAAGTTCCCCTTTAGACACTATGGAGGACTTGCGAAAAGTGGAAGTGCTTTCTATAACATCCAACACCAGTCTTGTTTTCTGCCTTTAGTTTTCAGTTGAATCTGGTTTGGTGAGAGTCTGTCTTATGTACATCTCATGACTACAGGTCTTTCCATGGGCTTAGCATATGTGACAGGGTATGCAAAATTAAATCACCTCACTAGTCAGGACAAATGCAATATTTTCTTCCGGCCGGCGAAGGGCATTTGTTAAGGTAACTGAACTCCTTCCAATTCTTTCTTAAAATAGTTTTCTAATGGTTGCAGCAAAATCTCTGGAAATGACTGCATTGTGTTCTCAAAGCATTATTTTCTGTCATGCTGTTGTGGTAGAATACAACCCCTAGGGCTTGCTTCTGAGTTACCCACAGGTTACTCAGTAAGCCCTGTATTCTTCCAGCACAGAAGGAATTGGTAGTGCGGGGGAGAAGACCCCCTGGAATGAAAGCATCCTAGAACCTCTGAAAGGAAAGAGGCCAGGACAGGGTATTTCAGAATATTTAGGAAAGAGACTTTAAGGCTGGAGTCCATTTACCTGGAGTAAGCCCCATTGAATTCAGAAGGGCTTGGGTCTAAGTAGGCGTGTAGGATGGCACTGTATGATTTGTAGCCCTGTATACTTAATTGAGATGAACCCCATTGAGCACTGTAGGAGTTGCTTCTGAGTAAACATTCAAAGGATTGTGCTGCCTGGGAAGCAAGGACTAGGAAGCAGTAACAGAACAGAGATGTGCTTCTGTGGACCCAGGATGCTGTAGCTTTGCTGAAGCTAAGCAGGTCTGGGCCTGGTTAGTTCCTGGATGGCAAGAGTGCCTGGGGACTTGAGTTCCATGATGGAAAAAAGACAGGATATACATCTATTAAATATAGAAATTGCTGCCATAATTTTTAACAAGCATTTTATAATCCTTGTAGTTGCAGTGCAAAGCCAGCAAATATGAAGAGGGCAGCAACAGGTGAAGGGCAGCTCTTTTGCAGTTTTGTGGCTGGAGCTTTAATGTGTTTCCTAGGTATCTATCAAGAGGGTATTCAAATGGGCCACGTGTGAATACTTTGGAGGCTTAAGTAAGGAGAAGGGATCAGAAGCCCTTTGTGGAGGTGCAGCTGCCTCCCTTGAGTAAGTTCAACAAACTGGACCAGAGTTTGTCCTTTCTTTCATTCTGTGATACTATTTCATTGCCCATTGGTGGTATTTGGCACAAGGTGCTGTCTAAAAGCATTTACTGGGCCAATGAAGAAAGAAAGAAAACCCACAACTTGCTTCTCTGCCACTGCCACAAAGGACAGTGGCTAACATTTGGAGATTGGGAGCAGTCCAGACATTGTGGCTTCCAGTGTTGCAGGCAGGTGATCTTTAGGCCTCTTGATTTTGGGTGTGTGGAAAGATCCACATGTGCCACAACTGTGGCACTATCCCGCTTTCAAATACTTAAAGCCCACCTGTGGGTATTGGATAATTCTGCCCCCTTCCTCTCTAGGTTCAGATGGCTCTTCCTTGCTCCATATCCCCACCACTGATGATGTTTTGCATTAGGGAGAACCTGATGGAGTTTATATGTTCTTCACTTTTTAATGGGACTTCAGCAGCCTAATGCTACTGTCTCCTAGTGTATCTGTTTTCACCTGAGATTTAATGACTTTATGTTTGTGGAAAGTCTGCCTTAGGATTTTACATTTCACTGTTGCCAAGTGTCTGCTGTCATAAGTTACCTAGCTTTAATTGCCAAGTTAGGCCTGAGGCCTCATGACCACTTCTCTTAAGACTTTCCCCTAACCAGCTTTCACTGTATGTTGTTTCACTGATTAAACCCAGAATAATCAGGCTGTTCTTTTATTTCTTCTGTTTTATTTAATCTCTCTATCTTAGAAAATGCAGTGTAAACAGCTCAATGCTAGATATATTTCAGGTGGTAAAATAGAGTAGAGGCAACCTCACCAATTTTGGCCTTCCAAGCACACATAACAATCCCAGCAGCTTTTGAGGCAAAACCCTTATTAGTAGATGGGGTACGGTGGCAATCACTTGGGGTGGACATTGGTATACTAGGTAATGCATTTTTGTTCTTTTTTCCTGTACAGTTG